TCTCTCTCTCTCTCTCTCTCTCTCTCTCTCTCTCTCTCTCTCTCGCTTCTGCCATTATTTTATTTTCATATAATGACTGTTTTAAAAGTTTCATTAAATTAAAATTTTTTACTATTATATTCAATTTATTAATTTTTTTCTACATAACTATACTGTTAGAAATGTTTCCTTTACATGTAAATGAAGCTCGTGATTATGAATGAAATTAAAAATAACGAATGATTTAACTGAAAACTAAATTACAGTAGTTACTTAAATGTAATGAATGTGTGCATTAAATTTCACAAAATTTTATGAAAAATATATTAAATTTCATAAAATTTCATGAAAATATATTAAATTTCATGTACATAAATATACCTTTCAGTTATAAAATTACATTAAATTTAATGTAATATCATGAAATTAAATTCAAATTGTGTAACTTAAAAGTACATTAAATTTCATGAAATTTTTAACAGTGTATATTAAATGTTAATGAAATTCAAGAACATTTCTAACAGTGAGCTATGGATTTTATTATATTCTCGCCTCTCTTTAGAATCTGAGTCACTCGGCCTTGTAATCAGCGTGAGCGATATTCTCATTATTTCCCAATTTGGAGCGTAAGAAACAACTCTTATAATTTTGTTCACTGAAGCTCGGGAGAAAACCGAACCGTTTGAATCGTGTAAGAAGAATTTTAAATTATAGTATAAAGAACATTAAATTATCATTTCGCGCTACGATTACCGCATGACTCTCATTCGTCTAATACATTTTCCTTTATTAATGAGCGCTGATGAGGACTTCAGGTTTACTAATATTTATAGGTAATCATCAAAATATTTTGTAATTGGTCATATTTAAATCTTTCAGTAACTAATTGCTTAAAATAAAAATTTACAAATAATTTTTTTATTTAATTTTTCAAAAATTAAAATACTAAGAGCCGGTTGTTCCGGTTTCTTCAAATAAATTATGTGATAATTTACCTATTGGATAAACAAAAGAGTAAAAGAGTAAGAGCATAAGAAAGTAAGAGGGTAAGACAGTGAGCTGAAGTTTACCGAAAGTTGGAACAACCCAGCCTAAGTGAATTAAAATTAAAGTAAAATAAATACCTTTAGTAAAATTAAAATTAAAATACTAAGTAAAAATACTATCTTATAGTATTTTGGGACATCTTGTATAATGACTGCAGAACAGATTCTTCCTTTCTCCTTAAAAAAATTCTAGAACCTGGTGCAATTCAAGGAGAGTTCCGACGATTAAACGCATAGAATTACATGGATTTCGCTGTTCTTGTTTCAGAATCGGAAGTGACAGGATGTCAAGGCTATTACGCAGTAGATCGGGAACGGAATCGCCTCGTTCGTTAGACAACATGCGCAATCGTCAAGTTTCTAGTCCTATGAGAACGTCGGGAAGTGTAAGTCATGATTCTAACTCAAACCCGATTCGTCTGAAGGGAATATTTTGCTGATATCACATATCTTATTGACTATAGGTATCATCCTCGTGCGTCGATTCCGGTGACGAGGCCAGCCTCAGGATAGACCGCGGCACGTATCAGTACATGTTCCAGGACATCGTCTCCATAAAGACGATGCTCCTGAAGCTCAAACGAGTTCTTCAGGAGGTACGACAGAAGCACAACGCACGCTTGCATTTTACCTCGCCAAAAATTGTGCACGTCACATGTCACATCGCTTCTTGCGATCGTCCCCGTAAATATGTTTCACGCGTTTTAAGCGCGGTGCCGAAGCGACTTGAGTTTTAGCTCGAGGCCCGCCTTCGGTTTCCACCGCACACACGTTATCGATCACAAGCATTTTATTCCGTTATCCATGTACACAGTCCGTTTACATTTTTACCTATTTTTATTAACACGATCTTTTTTATTTTTCATTTTTGTCGTCGTCCTTCCTGATTTTGCGTCTCAAGTCAGGAGAGAACGATTTGACGAGGGTACGTTGCATTGATTTTCTTTGCACATTTATTAATTTACATCACCTTATTTACATGCATGTTTATGTATTTATTTAATTATAATATATCACGTATAATATACATTTTTTATAATATATTATGTACTTTTACTTACACGGAACCGAATAAAAATTATGAAAGTTGCAATTATACAAAAGAAAGCAGTATATGAAATTGTAATTACAAGAAGATATGTGAAAGTTATAATTGCAAGAAGTAGACTCAATCCTCATTCGAATTCTACTGTTTTACTCGGTCCCGATAGCAAATTATGAAAATTATTAGCGCCAACGCTAAAAATAAATCTACCGTGCACTAATATCTGATATTGATTTTTAGACAGAAACTCTCAACCCATTCGATAATCCGAAGGTGAGTACTTATACCTCCTATAAAAAAGTGCTCAGAAAATAGATCTAAAAATAACTTGGACTTTCTTTTTTAATCCTGCTTAATTGAGGTTGACGTTAAGTTAAATTACAAATGACGTTGTCGGTATTATCGCAGAATGGCCTCTTCTGTAACCTGAACGAGGGTGGAAGTAACATGACTGACGTGAGTACATCACCGGGAAGTGGTGGTAGTAGTATTGCGGACGAACTGGCGGATCTGAGAAGGCAGGTGGTGTTCCTTCAGGGTCAGGTGGAGGACCGAGATCGCACGATACAAGTGCAGGATCGTACCATCGAGCTACTTGAGGTAAATAACGAGGTAAATCCCACTCGCGATTAACTGTACCGCTCTGTACCGCGAAAAGCTCGTCCCGATGGAGGTCTAATCGGTAATCATTCTCAGAGCGCTCTTTATTATTAATCGGAGCGAATCGCATAGAAGTGATAATCGATTATTAACCTTCGCAGCTCCAGATGTCGAAGCTTCAAGAACCTAAGAATGGCGATATTCAAAGCTGTATTTTGCCGACACGCAACATCAACGTCTCCTCTGGAGATACTTGTAACGCCGCTACTCAAACAGAAAAGGTATCGCTTCATCAAATCTTTCAATCCCTTTATCGTACCTTCACACCGTTTTATCTTTGTATTGTTACGATCACAATAATCGCTTTTGCTTTGTGATTGCATTTCGTGATTCGTTACTATTAATGTTATCTTATCGTCGTCCACTCGATTAAAAGGAAATTATTTGATTGTGGCTTTAGACACGTCCAGTATCGGCGGGACCCTCGCTCCTACAATCACTCCCACAGGATGGTGTCATGGGGCCTCTCGTTAGGTGAGAATTTATCCTTTATTAATAATTATTGTATACGTTTAAGTTCTAATATTCATAATCTTCATTTCAACATACATTAGTTTTGTAAACAATTAATACCATTGATCGTCGAAAATTACATTTACGTGAATTATTCTTGTATCACTAACACAATCGCGTTTTCAATATCTTCTCTATCATGTGCATCATAAATAATAATGTTCTTTTTGCTGGTCCCGCCCTTTGCTCGGGTGATTCCACGTGACGCAGCTTCAGGATCGGGAAGGTAGAGTGCGTCAGTCTGTGTGACTTGTTATTGGGATATGTACTCCTGTCTGCATTTAACGCCCTTATATTCATGCACCTCTTTTATTTTCGTGCCACTTGTTTGACAATCCGTTATTAATAATTGCGTTCACATTTTGCATGGAATCAAGTAATTTGACTTCTCATTTGCTTCGCAATTTACTGATTGATCAAGGCAAATCTTGTCAGAGTAAAATAATCGAATTTAATATAAACTGTTACATTTTGTTATAACAGCTTAAGAAATATGATTATTTTATAAAATATAATAGCTTTATATATAAATTGTTATATTCCTGTTATATATTATATTTTATAGCAGTAACAACTATTCAAGCGCCACAAAATTGTAACTTTTTGTTTTACTTTATCATTTTTCATATTCAGCTTCATGTCATGTCTTCGATCAATATCTTTTTTCTTTGCGAAAGAAAATAATCAAGTGACTGCATTTTGATTGAAAGCCTAATGATCGAATAAATTCTAATATTTGTAATTTAGAAAATATCTTGAACTATTTGAATGTAGAACGATTCGAATGTAGATTATTATGCCGTTTACATTTGTAAAATTAATGTTTCTGGCATGTTGTAATAACATAGTCCGTTTTCGTTTTAACGTTAATGTAATAATTACACCTTGACAATTCCCAATTTCTTGCGATAAAATACTGGATTTATAATTTTTAATATTTCACGCTGCCTTAATTAGCCGTGTGCGGTAAGTTTTGAGTTCTCTTCATTCGATCAACTCAGAATTGTTACTTGAATCGAACTTTTACGTTCTCCATCTCCGCGATCTCTATTTCTCACAGTAATAACTTCTCGATTGCAGTTGGAGTGACTCGTTGGACCGTCAGCGACCATCACTGCTCTCCGAGCTTAATTCCGCCGGGAGCCATCGCAAGCCAATCGAACGTTTACCTCATACGCTAAGACTCCGTCAGGAACAGACTCCGACACGTCGCATCAACGTGCATGCGAGAAGACACTCGTCGGAATGCGTGTCCGGCTCGCCCACTAAGCCGAAGAATTGCATAAAATCGCCATGCGATTTGAACGACGCAGAACAACGTGACGCTAAGATAGAAGGAAATACCGTCAAGTCTCTCATTCCGACACCTAGAAAACTACGGCTTTAACGGCACCGGTTATATCGATCTTCTTTACGTATAGCAACGTTTCTTTTCGTTCCAGACGTCCGTATCCTCGAAGTACAGAAAATCTTTGAAAGGCATATTGATCTCCTTACGGACAAATCATTCATACGAAATGTTTATTTGATTTTTCATTCAGTAAACCTAAACGCCTAAATTGAGAATGAGTCCGTAATTGAACGATTATGGACTCATTCTCGATTTAGGCGTTTAGGTTTACTGAATGAAAAATCAAATAAACATTTCGTGTGAATGATTTGTCCGTAAGGAGATCAGTATGTCTTTTAAAGGTTTTCTGTACTTCAGAAAGAATTTAATTTGTATATAATTACTCAATCGCATTTTCGTCAGACGGTCGTCGTCTGATTCGGACGTCCAAGATATCGTAAAATGATCTCGTTTTATCTGCTCGTACTCGCAATTAGTTCTCTGCACGACATGATGTTCACGTCCTACGTGTTAACAATAATGTATGTTATTTGATATTATGCGTCTGATATAATTCGCCATAATATTTATGTAATGTGGTGCAGAGAGTGTCAGCCATCTATTCCTGAGCGGGTATTTCGGGCGGTGTGTAATTCGCGCCCGCGTGCATTATGGGTATGGATACACTTAATCGTTAATATTAGTAAATTTCATTTTCTCACTTAAACGTAAATTTATCAAGCAAATTTTCTTTCTATAGCTAATTCGCTGTAATCAAACAAAAGTTAGACGAAGTTAATCATTGTTAATAATGTCACAAAAAAACGTTTGTATTGTATTTTATTTGTCATCATCGTTCAAAGATACCGCAAATATGTTTGGATAATTTTGAGAAAGTTGCACGAATGTAACTTCGGTTTGTGGATATATTTTGTGACAAATAGACACGGATTACGATAATTAGTGAAGCCAGGGTATTATGTAAATTCCACAGATAATTTTAATTTATTGTGTGCTTGATATGTGCTTGGTGCTAGTAAGTTCGTATTCGATATTATAAGTAAATTCGTATATAATATTTAGCTTCTCTTGTCTTTCGTGTAATCACATCGACAGCACGAATAAATCCAATTCAAATCTCCCAATGTTAAAAATTTAGTTCTTGAGATTCAAGATAACGTAGTTCGAGTTATTCTTCCAAACTGTAATCTTACAGATTATATATAATTTTTATAAATTATATATTCTTCTAATAAGCTTGATAATTCAATGTGTATTTAAAAAAAATATATACATATTTATATATAATCCTTTATTTTCTATTAAAAAAAGATAAACGATGACAATAATTATTATTGCAAAATATAAACACAAACGCAATTTCGTAAGTGTTTTTTCATCCGCATTGTATGATATTCTGCAGTATTATAGCAAAACATTTCACATAAATTGAATATCTGGAGATTGACGAATGTCAGGAGAAACTAGATATTATATGATCATTGTATATT